AGTTCTGTGTACTTGCTAATTTTTTCAGTGCATGTGTTTTGTACATTGTGAGTGTTTGGAATGGCTATGTCTATAATGTATGTGATTTTATTGTGTTTGTCAATGAGTGTGATGTCTGGTCTGTTGTGGTAAATTGTTTTATCTGTGTATGGCTCTGTCGTAATACAGTTTGTGCGTGTTGTTTTCCAATTACTATTATTATTATTTGTTTTAATACTATAATATCGGCTTTATACTCTTAAAAATAATCCTATTACTTGAATATTGATATTACACAAGAATCTGTTCAATTTATACTTTGTATAATAGTGGTATATTGTCATGGTTTTCTATTCCATTGTGTGCTTTAATTATAAAAAATTTATATTTTTTAACAACAAAAAATCTGTAAAAGAGATGGTTTTAAAGTGTTTAAATCAGTGATAGTTTGTCTACTTAGAAAATGGTGGGGCCAGTTTAAAAAAGTTATTCAGCTAGTAGTAGTATATAGTAGAAAAGTAGATTTTTAGTAGAAAATCAAGATTTTAACATAAAATAACTAAAATGCTTATTTTTGCATGATTTATATATTTATTTATACTAGTTTATGGATATTAATCAGCAAAGTTATGAAGAATACCGTGATGACAAATTCAAAATATGTAATTCAGTAAGAATTAGTGTTGATAATTTAGTAAAATGATCAATAATGAAAACTGATTAATACAATGGAAAAAATAAATACAATAATTATGAATTAATCAATCAGTAAAAAAAATATAAACTGCAAGAGATTGTAAAATGTACAATGATGTGCACACACTAACATACACAGTTAAGCAGTAAGAGTACACTTGGAATAGGATCTGTTGAAGCTGGTCCCAATGCTCCATAAAATTGCACATATTTCATCAGCCAACCCATTAGTAGCAGCAACAGTATGAGTTCCTATGTCTAATATCTCTTCACACTATTTAAAGTGACCAACTTTTTTACAATGATAAGGAGGACAAATAAATTGAAGGAAAAAATATCATAAATAAAAGAAACATTTTATTTGTTGCAACAATAATACACTATATTAATTAATCTCTACTGCATGTGTATGTGCCGTGTTGTGTTTCAGTAAGAAGTAAACAAAGCCACTTGCACTTGGCATGCTCTCTCAAGGTCTTTTGTGCAAAGCGCATGCATCTTATAATCACATCTCGCCGCACTGTACCGAGCCTTGAATTGTCATGTCAAATACAAACACATCACATCACATGAAATGGATCGGCTCTGCATCGATCGAATATGGAGATTTGCAGATTAGTTTCCAAATATTCTTTATATATAAATAGTCTTTATCCCTGAGAAAATTCAGATGAACATAGAGTACTCTATTGTTTTTGTATACTATGTAGGATGTTTGCTGCAAAACTTTTGAAATATTTATTCATGAATGGAATAATGTATATTTTTGTTGTGTTGGAGATGGATTTTGTGCATCCCATGGACAGCGACGATCATCAATAAAACTGTCTTAAACAGAGTCCAACCGAAAATCTCACTGGAAGCCCAGATAATCAAACAGAAATTGTCCTTTTTTGGTTATATAATGAGAACCAGCTCTCTTGAGAAGGTGGTCGTGCTGTCATAGTTAGCAGGAAAAGAGTGTGAGGCCGACCAAGGACTTGGTGGCTCGACACAATTAAAAGAGATATTAAATTGTCTATAACGGAACTGAAGGAGGCTGTGCAAGATAGAGGCATGGAGAGCTTTGATCCTTAGAGTGACCAAGAGTTGGACACAACTAAATGGATAGGATAGGATGTTTTTGTCATACATAACTTAGATAACATTGTTGACTTGTCTCCAAGTCAGTATATTAAATATTTATTTAATATATTTAAAAAGCAGACAAATAGTTAGGAAGAAACTAATATACTTTTGAGTTTGGAAACATTAATTTTGTAAGAGTGGGTGGATATTCAGTTTACTATGTAAAAGAAGATATCTAAAATGAAAATTATCTTTGTGATACTGTATGAGTGAATTTTTTTGTTTATGTTACAGAATTGAAAGAAAAAACTTCTTTAGAATTTGTTTTTTTTTCATTGATTTTTGGTAATATCAGTTAGATTTAACTTTACTTTCTCTTTTTGCGGTATCTTGTTATCAAGTAGAAAGAAAATATAAAGTAAAGATTTAAGCTGTTTGCAGAGAGATATCAATAGTAAATAATAAAATAGTATGGAAACATTGGAAAAAGAAAACTTAAAAGTTGAATAACTTTATTTAGATAGGAAAATAATATAATACATTTTAGGTAATGATAATTGATATGAGGTGATTGTTCAGAAAAATATATTTAAAAAACTCAGATATAATGAACTTAAGCAGATACTTAAATGAGAAATATGAGAATAAATAAAAGAAGATATTAAAAGAATTATTTTATTTCCAGCTATTATGTATTAAGAAATGTGTTTTTGATGAATTTTGTTTCCCTTTTATTAAAAAACATACTAAAAATCTCTAAACTAAATTATTTATGTTTACAGAATAATGCAGTTAAAATAAATTGTCAATTTTGATACTAAACTAGTGAAAAAAATGCAAAATCCAATAACAGCTTATTTTAAATACAGATATTTGAATATAAATACAGTACAATCTTGGTAATCTGACATATATGAGACTGGAAGATTGAGATTGCTTGATTATTGAAAATAAGGTAAATTCAATGATATAATCATTCAGAAAGAAAATATTTAATTATTAACATGATATTAATACTTTGTATTAACTTTGACTACTGATCAAAACATCTAAGTGCACTGCCATCACTGGTAATTATGTTGCCAAGTTGGTGGATTCCCATTAAATTTAGTTGGAAATTGAAGTAACTGTGGATAGTTTAGTTGGTGATACAGTATTTTTGGGGGATCGATTTTTATATTTATATAGTATTGTGTTATAAGATGTACCTTTTTAAACAGCCTAAGATAATGAGCCTATCTTTAATAGCATGATCAAGCTCAAGTGTTCAAGCACAGGCTTGATATCATGCTATTTATAATGGAAAGGTGTTCAAATTTAGTGGAGTTTGAACTAGTAGGAAGCTTGTCAATGACTTGGCAACAATGCCAATAATACCTGAGAGTGACAGATTACTGGACATGTCGGACTAGCAAATGACCAGATTACTGAGACTGTACTGTAAATATTGGAAAGTTAATAATAATTTTTTTAATGTATTCAATATTAATTAATTAAAATTATTAATTTATTTATTTAAATAGTTTTGTATCTGTGAAAAACTGAAATATTTAGTGTTATAACATCTGTAACCTTTGGTTTTTTTAATCAGTATTTATACATATCTATAAAATCTTCAAAAAAAAAAAAAAGAACAAGTGAAGCTAAACTGAATGAGACATTATGAGTATTATATAGGATTGCAAGGATTCAAATCTTGAGATATTAATTTTTTCTTTAATCTCTGCTTCTGGATCTCCTTAGACCCTTTCTGGAGTATTCTAGCAACCAGAGATGACTGAATACAAAATCCGATACTACTTTTCTCAGCTATATTCTGTATTTTTATTGCTTTTATGTTTCTCTGTGATGTATGAAAAGGAGATATTTTTATTGTATTAGTATATTATTCTCAAGATTAATATCTCATAACTATGATATAGAATTTGTATTTGTTTTCTGACACCTAAGATTAGTTTTATTAAACAATACTGTAAATGTTAAAATGTATTTTTAATTTAAATCATAAAAATTAGATATATTTAAAAATTTTTTAATTCTGTATTTTAATTTAACGCATATTTATATTCTAGAAAGATGACTTCGTCAGAGCAAACTTGCTATACCCTCATTAATATTCCAATAGATTCAGAACCACCAAATGAAATACAGCTGAGAAATGATCTAGGTATTTAAATATTTTTATACATTTGAATAATTTTGATTTACAATGATTAATTACATTTTTTAAAAATATTTGAATTTAATTATTTTAGAAAAAGGTGATACCAAAGTCAAAATAGAAGCATTAAAGAGAACTATTCATTTAATTCTTAATGGAGAGAAATTTCCTTCCCTTTTAATGACAATTATTCGATTTGTTTTGCCACTTCAAAATCATGCCATCAAAAAACTTTTATTGATTTTTTGGGAAATTGTTCCAAAAACAACAACTGATGGAAAATTGATGCAAGAGATGATACTAGTGTGTGACGCTTATAGAAAGGCAAGTTTAATGTTGTAAATTATAATCTTAATTTAATTTTAATTTTGTAAGTCTATTGATATAGATACTAAATAGAATACTAACATTTAAAATCTGTGGGTGATTTAAAATCTCAAGTATAATTGTTACAGATTGCATTATACTTGCAGTATTCTTGATTAAAAATTTGTTGTTTTAAAAATTAAAATTAATGAAAATTTTTAGATTTTGTATATTGTTGTAAAATTATACTAGACAACAATATATAGATTCATATAGATCATTGCATATACACTAGAATCTCAACCATGTAGACCACCCATGTGCCACAAAAGTGAAAGTTTGAATGGAATGTTGATTTTTTTCATGGATAAACTGCTCATGTACATAGGCAGAAACCTATAGTTAAGGTTTTAGGGTATTAATCCAATAATGTAATTCATTTTTAGTCTTTTAAATTACCATTTTACTTTTCCGGCTGTTATAACAGATGGAAAGTATAGCGATCTGGCAAAAAATGACCATCCAGATTTTTACATTTTTTATTTTAAGACACCTTGAAACGTTGAGAAATGCAAGAAATTTAGGGGCAATTTCTGTATTTATGAATATTAGTGTATGTGTGTAGCACGATTTTATCCACCCTGTTTGAAACTTAATAACTCTTGTGTTTTTGACAAAAATTTCTGAAATTTTGCAGGGAGGTTTGTTTATTAGGAGAATTGATTTGATGCTATTAAATTTTGGTGAGTAAAGGTTAGTTCACACTGAGTGCAATTCGCTGGCGAAAGCGAAAAACAGAGCGAATAACATGTTAGACATGACGTCGTTTCAGGCAAATTTTACCATTCTGCAAATTTCTTTGAAGTTCGGAACTGTTGAGCTCTTTTTCACTAGCAAAAAAATTTCACCACCAATCGTATTCCCACTAGTTGTCACGTGGTTCTTGTTATTTTCAAGATGGCTACAGAAACTTTCTAACGCAATAGAGTAAGTGTTGTAATTATGGATTTTTAATATTTCTCTCATCCATCATTGTTTTCTTTTTGTCTTATCTTTCTTTCTTAATAAATAAACAAATGTGGTTAATGATGGAATATCGGAAGTGGCCATTTTGATTTTCGAGATGATGTTTTCGCTTGCTTGCAAATGATTGGCTGCTTAAAATTTGCAATAAGTTGCTTTTTGCTTTTGGTTGTATGGGTCAATTTTACTAAGCGAATAAAAATCGCTTTTTGCATTCGCTTTCACTATTTGTTCAGTGTGAACTAAGCTTAAAGGTTGAGGAGGTGGGGAGATAATGGGTGTTCATGTGTATCTCCAGTAGAATCTGACTTAATGACAATTTTACTTGTTATTAGCATTTACAATTTCTTATAAAATTCATCCCTACCCTCAAAATTAAGCTTTTTGCCATTTTATAATAGTTAAAATAAAATATTGTACCAGATGGTACCACAAAAATTTTGATGTTGCAGGGAAAGTTGAGCAACTCGTTAGTGGATTATTTTTTATGCTAAACAGAATGAAAGTATTCAAATAGAATTTAACATCAAAATTTTGACTATATTACTGTTTTACAATTTTAAAATATTACTTGTTCCTTGATTTAGCAAAGATGATGATATAAATCATTTCTAATTATACAATAATACAATTCATTATTGTTACTATTCAATTCATTCCGATATTTTGATTATATGAATCATTATAATGTATTTGTGGTTTGACATTAAATATAGTCAAAATAGAAGCATTAAAGAGAACTATTCATTTAATTCTTAATGGAGAGAAATTTCCTTCCCTTTTAATGACAATTATTCGATTTGTTTTGCCACTTCAAAATCATGCCATCAAAAAACTTTTATTGATTTTTTGGGAAATTGTTCCAAAAACAACAACTGATGGAAAATTGATGCAAGAGATGATACTAGTGTGTGACGCTTATAGAAAGGCAAGTTTAATGTTGTAAATTATAATCTTAATTTAATTTTAATTTTGTAAGTCTATTGATATAGATACTAAATAGAATACTAACATTTAAAATCTGTGGGTGATTTAAAATCTCAAGTATAATTGTTACAGATTGCATTATACTTGCAGTATTCTTGATTAAAAATTTGTTGTTTTAAAAATTAAAATTAATGAAAATTTTTAGATTTTGTATATTGTTGTAAAATTATACTAGACAACAATATATAGATTCATATAGATCATTGCATATACACTAGAATCTCAACCATGTAGACCACCCATGTGCCACAAAAGTGAAAGTTTGAATGGAATGTTGATTTTTTTCATGGATAAACTGCTCATGTACATAGGCAGAAACCTATAGTTAAGGTTTTAGGGTATTAATCCAATAATGTAATTCATTTTTAGTCTTTTAAATTACCATTTTACTTTTCCGGCTGTTATAACAGATGGAAAGTATAGCGATCTGGCAAAAAATGACCATCCAGATTTTTACATTTTTTATTTTAAGACACCTTGAAACGTTGAGAAATGCAAGAAATTTAGGGGCAATTTCTGTATTTATGAATATTAGTGTATGTGTGTAGCACGATTTTATCCACCCTGTTTGAAACTTAATAACTCTTGTGTTTTTGACAAAAATTTCTGAAATTTTGCAGGGAGGTTTGTTTATTAGGAGAATTGATTTGATGCTATTAAATTTTGGTGAGTAAAGGTTANATTTTTTCAGTGCATGTGTTTTGTACATTGTGAGTGTTTGGAATGGCTATGTCTATAATGTATGTGATTTTATTGTGTTTGTCAATGAGTGTGATGTCTGGTCTGTTGTGGTAAATTGTTTTATCTGTGTATGGCTCTGTCGTAATACAGTTTGTGCGTGTTGTTTTCCAATTACTATTATTATTATTTGTTTTAATACTATAATATCGGCTTTATACTCTTAAAAATAATCCTATTACTTGAATATTGATATTACACAAGAATCTGTTCAATTTATACTTTGTATAATAGTGGTATATTGTCATGGTTTTCTATTCCATTGTGTGCTTTAATTATAAAAAATTTATATTTTTTAACAACAAAAAATCTGTAAAAGAGATGGTTTTAAAGTGTTTAAATCAGTGATAGTTTGTCTACTTAGAAAATGGTGGGGCCAGTTTAAAAAAGTTATTCAGCTAGTAGTAGTATATAGTAGAAAAGTAGATTTTTAGTAGAAAATCAAGATTTTAACATAAAATAACTAAAATGCTTATTTTTGCATGATTTATATATTTATTTATACTAGTTTATGGATATTAATCAGCAAAGTTATGAAGAATACCGTGATGACAAATTCAAAATATGTAATTCAGTAAGAATTAGTGTTGATAATTTAGTAAAATGATCAATAATGAAAACTGATTAATACAATGGAAAAAATAAATACAATAATTATGAATTAATCAATCAGTAAAAAAAATATAAACTGCAAGAGATTGTAAAATGTACAATGATGTGCACACACTAACATACACAGTTAAGCAGTAAGAGTACACTTGGAATAGGATCTGTTGAAGCTGGTCCCAATGCTCCATAAAATTGCACATATTTCATCAGCCAACCCATTAGTAGCAGCAACAGTATGAGTTCCTATGTCTAATATCTCTTCACACTATTTAAAGTGACCAACTTTTTTACAATGATAAGGAGGACAAATAATTTGAAGGAAAAAAATATCATAAATAAAAGAAACATTTTATTTGTTGCAACAATAATACACTATATTAATCTCTACTGCATGTGTATGTGCTATGTTGTGTTTCAGTAAGAAGTAAACAAAGCCACTTGCACTTTCATGCTCTCTCAAGGTCTTTTGTGCAAAGCGCATGCATCTTATAATCACATCTCGCTGCATTGTACCGAGCCTTGATGAATTGTCATGTCAAATACAAACACATCACATCACATCACATCACATGAAATGGATCAGCTCTGCATCAATCGAATATGGAGATTTGCAGATTAGTTTTCAAATATTCTTTATATATAGTCTTTATCCCTGAGAAAATTCAGATGAACATAGAGTACTCTATTGTTTTTGTATACTATGTAGGATGTTTGCTGCAAAACTTTTGAAATATTTATTCATGAATGGAATAATGTATATTTTTGTTGTGTTGGAGATGGATTTTGTGCATCCCATGGACAGCAACGATCATCAATAAAACTGTCTTAAACAGAGTCCAACCGAAAATCTCACTGGAAGCCCAGATAATCAAACAGAAATTGTCCTTTTTTGGTTATATAATGAGAACCAGCTCTCTTGAGAAGGCGGTCATGCTGTCATAGTTAGCAGGAAAAGAGTGTGAGGCCGACCAAGGACTTGGTGGCTCGACACAATTAAAAGAGATATTAAATTGTCTATAACGGAACTGAAGGAGGCTGTGCAAGATAGAGGCATGGAGAGCTTTGATCCTTAGAGTGACCAAGAGTTGGACACAACTAAATGGATAGGATAGGATGTTTTTGTCATACATAACTTAGATAACATTGTTGACTTGTCTCCAAGTCAGTATATTAAATATTTATTTAATATATTTAAAAAGCAAACAAATAGTTAGGAAGAAACTAATATACTTTTGAGTTTGGAAACATTAATTTTGTAAGAGTGGGTGGATATTCAGTTTACTATGTACTGAAGATATCTAAAATGAAAATTATCTTTGTGATACTGTATGAGTGAATTTTTTTGTATGTTACAGAATTGAAAGAAAAAACTTCTTTAGAATTTGTTTTTTTTTTATTGATTTTTGGTAATATCAGTTAGATTTAACTTTACTTTTTCTTTTTGCGGTATCTTGTTATCAAGTAGAAAGAAAATATAAAGTAAAGATTTAAGCTGTTTGCAGAGAGATATCAATAGTAAATAATAAAATAGTATGGAAACATTGGAAAAAGAAAACTTAAAAGTTGTATAACTTTATTTAGATAGGAAAATATTATAATACATTTTAGGTGATGATAATTGATATGAGGTGATTGTAAAAAATATATTTAAAAAACTCAGATACAAAGAACTTAAGCAGATACTTAAATGAGAAATATGAGAATAAATAAAAGAAGATATTAAAATAATTATTTTATTTCCAGCTATTATGTATTAAGAAATGTGTTTTTGATGAATTGTGTTTCCCTTTTATTAAAAAAACATACTAAAAATCTCTAAACTAAATTATTTATGTTTACAGAATAATGCAGTTAAAATAAATTGTCAATTTTGATACTAAACTAGTGAAAAAAATGCAAAATCCAATAACAGCTTATTTTAAATACAGATATTTGAATATAAATACAGTACAATCTTGGTAATCTGACATATATGAGACTGGAAGATTGAGATTGTTTGATTATTGAAAATAAGGTAAATTCAATGATATAATCATTCAGAAAGAAAATATTTATTTATTAACATGATATTAATACTTTGTATTAACTTTGACTACTGATCAAAACATCTAAGTGCACTGCCATCACTGGTAATTATGTTGCCAAGTTGGTGGATTCCCATTAAATTTAGTTGGAAATTGAAGTAACTGTGGATAGTTTAGTTGGTGATACAGTATTTTTGGGGGATCGATTTTTATATTTATATAGTATTGTGTTATAAGATGTACCTTTTTAAACAGCCTAAGATAATGAGCCTATCTTTAATAGCATGATCAAGCTCAAGTGTTCAAGCACAGGCTTGATATCATGCTATTTATAATGGAAAGGTGTTCAAATTTAGTGGAGTTTGAACTAGTAGGAAGCTTGTCAATGACTTGGCAACAATGCCAATAATACCTGAGAGTGACAGATTACTGGACATGTCGGACTAGCAAATGACCAGATTACTGAGACTGTACTGTAAATATTGGAAAGTTAATAATAATTTTTTTAATGTATTCAATATTAATTAATTAAAATTATTAATTTATTTATTTAAATAGTTTTGTATCTGTGAAAAACTGAAATATTTAGTGTTATAACATCTGTAACCTTTGGTTTTTTTAATCAGTATTTATACATATCTATAAAATCTTCAAAAAAAAAAAAAAAAACAAG